ATTTTGCCGTTTTTGGTTATTATCTTGAATATTATTATAGATAGAGATAAACTGTAGACAGCAATAATGTTTAGCAAAGTAAGATCTACAAATAAGTCACTTGACCAAAATGGTCAGTTGACCCCTTAAGGAGTTATTGCCCTTTATAGTCAATTTTTAACCATTTTTCGTAAATTTTTGTAATCTTTTACAAAAATCTTCTCCTCTGAAACTACTATGACAAATTTAACCAAACTTGTCCACAATCATCATTAGGGTATCTAGTTTTAAAAATGTGTCCGATGACCCCGCCCGCGAACCAAGATGGCCGACATGGCTAAAAAATAGTACATAGGGTAAAATGCAGTTTTTGGCTCATATCTCTGAAACCAAAGCATTAAGAGCAAATCTGATGAGGATAAAATTGTTCATTAGGTCAAGATCTATCTGCCCTGAAATTTTCAGACCAATCAGGCAACACGTTGTTGGGTTGCTGCCCCTGAATTGGTAATTTTAAGAAAATTTTGCAGCTTTTGGTTATTATCTTGAATATTATTATAGATAGAGATAAACTGTAAACAGCAATAATGTACAGCAAAGTTAGATATACAAATAAGTCAACATGACCAAAATTGTCAATTGACCCCTTAAGGAGTTATTGCCCTTTATAGTCAATTTTTAACCAATTTTTATAAATTTTGTAAATTTTTGTAAATTTTACAAAATATTTTCCACTGTAACTACTGGGCCAAGTTCATTATAGATAGAGATAATAATTAGGAGCAAGAATGTTCAGTAAAGTAAGATATACAAACACATCACCATCACCAAAACACAATTTTGTCATGAATCCATCTGTGTCCTTTGTTTAATATGCACATAGACCAAGGTGAGCGACACAGGCTCTTTAGAGCCTCTAGTTTTGTCTTGCCTGCGCAGAATGCAGGACATAGGGATTACAACCTGGCGACAGAAAACTCTTTGTATAAAGCTTTATTTTCCTGAAGGTAGAAGGCCTTGTATGCAGATGAGTTTATGTTACGAAGTTTCTGTCTTATTTTCGTGGGTCAGCGACTACTTAAAAGAAATGTATAGTTTTTGTCATGTGAAATACTTGCTTATTAGGAAAAAAATTTGCGGCCGTATAATAATTATGGCGATGTCGGCGTCGTCGTCCGAAGACATTTGGTTTCCAGATAATAACTTGAGTATAAGTGTATGGATCTCTATGAAATTGTACACAAGGTTCCATACCACAAAAGGAAGGTTGGGATTGATTTTTGGGGTTATTGTTCTAACTGTTTAGAAATTAAGGAACATAGCAAGCATTTTTGTAGAGCCTGTGAAAATTATTTCGTGAAAGCGAGACATAGCAATCCTCGATACCGTCGTCGGCGTAGTCAACATTTAGGTTCAGTCTGTGGTTAAAGTTTTTGTCAAACCTTCATGGAATTTAATGAAATTTGGACAGAAGCTTGTTTATTTCAAAATATAGTATCCAAAGTAAAATTTTGAAAACTATTTACTTTAATTTTTTCCGTATTTTTCTAATAAATGAACGTTTTTTATGACCAAAAAACAGTATCCAGAGCGAAATTTTGAAAATATTTTAATTTTCATTTTTCCGTATTTCACTGATAAATGGACTTAGTTTTTTTTTACAGTAATCAAGTAGATACAGTGTGGGGTTAAAGTGTGTTACACATCAATTACTTTGATAACATTCTTACATGTAGAATTTTCTGAAACTTTGGCAAAAACTTTTTTATGATTTACAGATAATGTCTGAAGCAAACTTTTGAAAATATATTTTTTTCATTTTCAGTATTTGTCTGATAAATGGACTTAAGTTTTTTTACAGTTAACATTTACACAAAGTCTGGGATTACATTTTTTTAACATGATAAATTTGTAAACCGTCTTGGATTGTTATAAAACTTGGACAGAAGCTAAATCTTCAACACAAAGAAATAGAAGCTAAAGGAAAAGTTTGATTTTTTTTTAAATTCTGTGCTGACATGAATTATCATTGATATGGTCATATTTATAAATTAACCGTTTACAAAACTTTTGAATTTTTGAAAAACTAAGGCTTTTCTACCCCAGGAATAGATTACCTTAGCTGTATTTGGCAAAACTTTTAGGAATTTTGGTCCTCAATGCTCTTCAACTTCATACTTTATTTGGCCTTTAACTTTTTTGGATTCGAGCGTCACTGATGAGTCTTTTGTAGACGAAACGCGCGTCTGGCGTAAATATAAAATTTAATCCTGGTATCTATGATGAGTTTATTTACTGATAAATAGACTCACATTTTAAATCAAAATTACACTGACAGCAGTAATCGCAGACGAGACACAGGGTTCCGTAGAACCCCTTACTAATTTTTCTTGTTTCAGGACAATAACTTGTGAATAAGTGAATGGAGCTCTATGAAACTGTACTTCAAGGTTCCATACCTCAAAAGGAAGGTTGGGATTAATTTTGGTCCAAATCGTTTAGGAATTAGGGGCCAAAAACAATACTTTTCTAATACTTTGTATACATTGCTTATTTCGTGACCAATTTCAATGGGGTTTATTTCAAAGTCTTGAATTATTGGGGTTCTTTAACATGCTGAATCTAACCGTGAAATAAGATTCTGGATTTTGGGCTCCGTTTTTAAATTGGTCCACATTGAGGTCCAAAATTAAACTTAATTTTATTTCAACAAAAATTGAATATTTGGGGTTCTTTGATATGTTGAATCTAAAGATGTATTTACATTTTTTATTTTGGTCCCAGTTTTCAAGTTTGTCCAAATCGGGGTCCAAAATTGAACTTCAGCAAATATTGAATATATGGGGTTCTTTGATATGCTGAATCTAACCGTGTATTTAGATTTTGGATTTTATTGTTTATGGAATCCTTGCAAAGTGAACATGTCTGTCAGACATGTTTATATGACCTCTATTCATTTCCTGGATCATTGATCAAGCTTGAAGTCATATGAAACTTCAAATTGAAAAAAAAAAGTTGAATATATTTTATATACTTGAATGGCTAAGTTTTACTATAAAACAAGTGTACGTGATCTTTCTTGTAAAAGATAATTCTTTATATTATCAATATCTTCATAAATGTACTGCAATTGAATTATTTTCCTCCCGTACAATAATTCGCCGATATTTTCCCATATGCAGTGACCTTAACTAAGAGACCTCTCGTTAGAACTTTGGCCACCGCACAGCTCAAGTAGCAGAGGGGCATTAAGTGTTACCCTTGTCCGTCCGTCCCGTCCGTCGCGTACGTCCCCAGAATTTGTTTCCGTTCTACTTTAGTTTGCCTAAACCAAATGTTATAAAACTTATACACATGCTTATTTCGCAAAACACAGATCAAATTCGAAATTGGACGGAGTCACTTTAACCGTTCATGAATTATGCCCCTTTATAAACATAAAAATTGCTGATTTTTTCGTTTCCGTTCTCTAACTTAAGTTTGCCTCAACCGAATGTTATAAAACTTATACACAATGCTTATTACCACAAAAAACAGACCAATTTCGAAATTGAATGGCGTCACTTTTATCGTTCATGAGTTATGTATGCTCCTTTATAAACATAAAAATTGTGAATTTTTCGTTTCCGTTCTCTAACTTTAGTTTGCCTCAACTAAATGTTATGAAACTGATACACAATGCTTATTACCACAAAACACAGATCTAGTTTGAAATTGGGTGGCGTCACTTAAATCGTTCTTGAGTTATGCCCCTTTATAAATGGAAAAATTGCTAAATCTGTCGTTTCCGTTTTCTAACTTTGCTTATTCTGATACACAATGCTTATAATCACAAAACGGTCTTAACTATGTGAATCCTGCATCTGTATGTAGAAGTTGACTCATGCATATTTACAAACGGAGCCATCTGTGGCCCATAGACACATTCTCCATTTATTTAACTCTGATTTGTATCAACGACCTCACAGCCTTAATCCACTTGGAAAGAGTATCTACGTCTTCTTTCTCGCGTTTAAGCCATTGCCTGGCATAATCCTCGACTGGATCCATCAGTATTTTGAAGTTGTGTTTCCAATTAATGGAGTTAGACTCACGACATTTCGAGCCTTTGGAAAACATATCTTGCAGAGAAGTGTTATTGACAATGTTTAGGTCACCAGTAATAAAGTGGCCAGCCGGATTATATATGAATGGGGAACAAGCACAGGTGCAATATCGTCAATATTGAGCTCCTGCAACCCGTGTTTGTAATTGAAAATTTTAGTTGCAATTAGTTTGGTATAGGTATAAGAAATAATAGGTACAGACTGATCTTTAAAATAGGGAGGTTTTTTCGAGTGAACTGAATTATGATGAAGGATATTGCCGAAGTTGATGGCATCGAGACCTTTATTGGCAAAGGAAAGTTTAAGAAAGGATCTTTTCTCCTTTTCATCTTTTACAATGCGACCTAGTTTGAAAAATCTTGACTTGCAATATCCGAGATGATAGCTGTAAGTTTGTATTATTTGGAATGGGGGTTTGTAACAGTGGTTTCAAAACATAATCTGCACAGAAAATGAAGTTTTGACAGGAGTAATTTATAAAGCTTTGTGCGAATGTGATGAATACCTAATGACTTTTGTATAAATGGTAGCAGGTCATTAGTAGAGACATCATGGAGAAATGAGATTTCCTATTATTACCTATAAATAAAAAATCGAAAATGCTGTATGTGTTAAAGGTACAATAAAATAGAATGAAACTTTACAGAATTTCTTCGTTAGGTGTTCAATTGTATTTGTTGTGATTTCTGGGGTTTTCAGTTCTCAAATCATTGATATTCCCAGAATATTTCACTTCAAAATCTCCCAATGGTATCATTAAATTGCATAGCAGCCAAGTTGATAAAAAACACTTTTTGTGGACACTTGTTGAATTCAAAGTTAGGTGTAATGCAAATAATCTTTGTAACTTGAGACAGGTAGGAAAGGAAAGATGAATATTTTTTGTGTTGAAAACAATTTATGGTTTCATTTCAGTATTAACAAATATGTTGCAGTCAGTTGTTAGAAGAATCTTAGAAATAGTACAAGAAGATACAGATAGAACAGTTGTTATGACCGCCATTGATACTTTATATGAAATGTTAGAAAAAATAGGAAGACCTGTTTTAGACGTTCAAGGTGCAACTGGTGCCATTCTTGCAAGGATGAAAGAAGCATTTACAAACAAGGTTAGAAGGTTTGATATGAAAAATTTTTAATGATCCAATTCTATGAGGTCAAAGGCACTCACTATATAATCAAGTGCGGTAGTTGCATCTCTGCGATTTTATTGCATTTGTCAGCCCTCCTTGAAGATATAATAATGTGATAATTGATATTAGATTGAATAATAGGAAGTTACATATTACATAAGAGTTTTGTTGTGTTTTACTATATTTTGTGTCACCTTTATTACCTATATTATGTAGGGATAGCAGACCTGGATACTTCATATATTGTAGATGCCATTTGTTATTGGCCTCATTTTCATGTTTCAGCAACTGCTTAAAAGCACATGATTTTCTCAGTTTCTACAGTATATTTGGTACACAGAATCCTTGCCAGGTGTACATGTCTTCCTGGCAGAGCTTATCTGTCCTTGGCCTTATTTTCACGGTTCATTACTTAACATTAAGTTTTCCTCATTAGCTGCTATTCGCATTAGGTTACCCATATCTGGTATATGGAATGATTATAAGGTTTATATATCCTTCTGACAAGGTTCATCAGACCTTTAACCTATTTTCATGGATTATTGCGTATTCGGATGAACCCAGTATCTGATGGCTGGCGAATAAATCATACAGATTTCCATCTCCATGTAGCAGTAGCTTTCTAAAGTTGATTGTCAAACATTTCAGCCACATTTAAGACGTTGACATACTAGTATTAAATATTTAATCGTGGCTAGGTTCTGTGGGAACATATGGTCGAAAAGGACAACAGAAAAAAAGTTAAATGTGTTTTGCACTGTCGGAAGACTGGATAATGCATTCAATGAATGTTCGCAATTCATTCAAACGTGATTGTGTATAAAACAGACACCCTTCCTCATTACGAAATTGGAGAAGTTTAAGTCTCTATAATTCTATACTCACCCGCGACTTTCTACCATGCAAATGAAGTTTACGGCAGACATACCGGCAACCTTTGTTAGCCTTGTAAAGTTGGAGGCAAACTTCTGACAAATATTTGTTGTGAACGTCCGGCAAATCAAATATGCAAATAATGTCTTGCGACAACCTTCCTTTGAACTAGATTTTAAAATAGTATTTGTTATGTACCTGCAGATGGGAAACCAAAGGTTGAATAGAAAAATTATATTATTTACCTGCTTTTTTTTAAAGAAAAAGTTGAAAGAGAGACTTTTGAATATTGACCATTTACATTTTAAAGAAACTTGGGAATATAAGCCGGGAATAATAATCAATAAATTCATATATGTTTCAAGGAAATTGAATTGACCCTACTTAATTATTGAACAGTTTTTGCAAATATAGGAAGATTATTGTTCCACAGTATTCATGAAAATGTTCAAAATGAAAAAAAGAGGGGGCCTGTGTGTGACCCTTGCTTGTGTAAACAGTATGCATTGGTTGCCCTTTTCTTTAAAACTACACAGCGTAGACCAGCTTTGTTCTCTGATTAGTTTTAAATAGTACTAATTTCAAAAGCAAGACCGTCTTCTATTTTTATGCCCCTTTATAAACATAAAAATTGCTGAATTTTTCGTTTCCGTTCTCTAACTTTAGGTTGCCTCAAACAAATGTTACAAAACTTATACTCAATGCGTATAACCACAAAACACAGGTCAAGTTCGAAATTGGGTAGCGTCATTTTTACCTTTCATGAGTATTGCCCCTTTATAAACAGAAAAATTCAGTTTTCGTTTCCGTTCTCTAACTTAAGTTTGCCTCAACCAAATGTTATAAAACTTATACACAATGCTTATTACCACAAAACACAGATCAACTTTGAAATGTGGAAGCGTTTCTTTTATCGTTCTTGAGTTATGCCCCTTTATAAATGGAAAAATTGCTAAATCTGTCGTTTCCCTTCTCTATCTTTAGTTTGCCTCAACCAAATGTTATGAAACTAATACACAATGCTTATAATCACAAAACGGTCTTAACTACATGAATCCTGCATCTGTATGTGGAAGTTGACTCATGCATATTTACAAGCGGGGGCATCTGTGGCCTATATACACATTCTCCATTTATCTTAATGCCATGATCCCACCAATGCATAACATATTAAATTCATGTATTTTATACCATTTTTATAACATCAATTGTTTTATTAGTCTTGATGAATTGTTCAAACGGAACAGGTAAATCACAGAAGCTTTTTTGGTTTGCTTAGCTTAATCAGTAGTGGATCAAGGAACTATTAAAAAGGGAGAGTGGATACATATTAGAATGGGGAGGATGAAGGAGCCTAATCTTACATTATATTTATTATATTTAAGATATGAATAAGGAGATAATCAGTTGAAGTCAGTGGGTCACACAAAACACAAGCATAGACATCTATTGACTTTTGCGATATTGAAAATTCAAAGTCTATAGGAAATATTGTTTGGTTTGCTTGAATTCAGAAATTGGAATAAACTGCTTGCTAAAATTCAGGGGCGTAAGAGCAAGGGGCAACACTGACTAACTTCTAGACTATTTGACTATAGAAAAGTTCTTTTTTTTTTTTGCCTTTCACTTTCAGAAGTTTGCCACCGCAACTGAAAGCATTAAGAAATTCATCTAGTTTGACCATCCAAATGTATCGTTGTCATTCTTTGATTGTCTGCAAGATAGTAACCAGTGCCGATTGTTAGCGTGCACATAGTGAGCTCATGTTCCGGAAAATGTTTTTACGTGCAACAATAGGCGAGAAATGACTAAAACAAAATAAGGAAAGGGATAGAATTTATTTATGTTCTTAGTGTACTTTTTGTCTAATATATATCATGAATCTGAAAAACTGTTTTTAATATTTTTAACTTCAACGTGTTTACACAAGTAATTTATTTCGGTTCTTAGTGTTGACTTGAAATTATTTTATTTATAATTTCAAACATTCCTTCTATAAAAAAAATAAAATAAGCATGCTGTGTATTAGGCTCGATGTATTGTGTATATCACACACTAATAGATAGAAACTTATTATGTACAACCATGAGATTAGAGTGTATATTGTCCCAGAGGTGTAATGTAGAGTAGATAAATAAATATCTTTATACCAGTCGTGATATAACATAACTCTTGAAAATGAATTTTAGATTAAAACATGTAGGCTTATAATGATTTAATAAAAAATACGGACGCACACATTAAAATATCTTTGGAACAATTATTCAATAAAAACTATTGTACACAATAAATCCATTCAAATTCATGTATTAATCCCATGTTAACTATAGTTTAACGTTACCAGTTATGTAAATATAACAAGCCCCTGCTAAAAAGTTAAACTTGATCGATGGATAATGTAACATAACTAGTGATGCGAATACCAAGATATTATTCAAGAGGTAGATTTCTCTGTAATATTATTATACAAGGAACATGCAAACATTCTGTATGTGCCTGTCCCAAGTCAGGAGCCTGTAATTCAGTGGTTGTCGTTTGTTGCTGTGTAAAATATTTGTTATTTAAATAGAACATAGGGGTAAAATGCAAGTTGTGTTTTTTTCTCCTCATGAAAACCACTATAGATAGAAAAAATCTGATAGGGCAAAAATGTTCAGAATGGTAAACTTTACTTCCTCAAAAAAGCGTCTAATAGAAGTTATTGCCCATTAAATGGTGATTTTTTTTTTTAATATTTTTTTGTTTTTGTTTATCATCTTGAAAACTTTAATAAATAGATAGAAACATTAAAGAACAAACATGATCAACAAGACAAGATCTACAAGTAAGTCAACATTAAAGGACAAAAATAATCAACAAGACAAGATCTACAAGTAATTGTAAGGCATCTCCTTATTGAAGTAACTGTTCTTTAATGACAATATTTACCATATTTTTGTGTTTTGCTTATTCCTTGAAAACTATAATAGATAGATAACAACTTTAAAAGACAAAATCTACCAATCAGTCAATATTGATGAAAAGGTTAGTTTACTTCATAAAGCAGATATTGGCCTTAAATGATGATTTTGTTTTACCTGAATTTTTTTGCGTTTTTTGCCTATTTTCTTGAAATATTTAATAAAAGTTAAAGTGGCAAATAAGTCAGCTTGGTTTAAACTATCAGTCGACTCCTTATAGTAGTTATTGCCCGTATATGACTATTTATTTTATACGCCTGTCGAAGACGTATGATGGTACGTCCGTCCGTCTGTCAACACTTCGTATGCTAACTCAAATTTGCTTTAACGAATTCTCATATGACTTACCACAATATTAGAATTGACGGAAGTAAGCCCCCTTTCGATTTTTTTCATTTTCGGATTTGTCATTCCAGAGTTACGGAACTTTGAGCCTGAGATTTAAGTATACCTAAATTGATCTCCTCCAAACTTAACCTTATTGTGGGAATTGATGAAAGGAAGCTTCCTCTAGATTTTTTTGATTTTTTAGTTTGTCTTTCCAGAGTTACGGAACTTTAACTGTTACATTTACGGTAATTTTTCACAAATCTCGCACTAACTCCAGTATTCCTGGATTAATTTCTTCCAAACTTTACATTATTGTTGGGATTGATGAAAGGTAGCTCCCTTTTTTTTATATATATTTTCCGGTTTGTTGCTCCAGAGTTGTGGGACTTTCATTGTAAGATTTTGGTAAATTTTCACATATTGTACCATGAATTTAGTTAGCTTGGATTGATATAGTGGAAACTTTAAATGACTGTTAGAACATAACAAAATGTTCGATTGAAAAAAACAGTATCCTCAGGCATGTTTTTCTACAGAGCCATTTTATTTGCTTATGATTAAATGCCTTCAAAATATTTAAGTCTCCCAAACGAAGTTTGGGAAGACTCATTGGTTTTGCTCAGTTATAATTATTATTATTCTTCTTCTTCTTCTTCTTCTTCTTCTTCCTCTTCCGCCGCTTTTAAATTTGAACTTGTCCGCACCCGTTCTCCAAAACCGCTTGTCAGATTAACTTAGGGTTTCACAATATGTTAGACTAACATGTCTAGTGGTGCAATCAGGGTTTTGTTTGTGCAATGGGGTTTATAAAGGGGTACTTCGAGGGGCAAAAAGAAAGGAGGGTTTTACTATAGAACCCTATGGGATTTTATTTTTTAAAATTTTCAAATGATTATAAATTGAAAACCGTTTGTGATAGACACTATCTTTTTAATTGAAAATGTTCTAAATGATAAAGCACATTAAATGAAATACAGGGTTAGTCCCCAGGGGTCACCCCCACCCCCTGCCATTTAAGAAAGTTATAATATCTTGTAAATGGTCGAGATCCCCACCCCTAAACCATATATATTCTGGTTTGTCATGCTAAGATGGTTTGAATGATATACAGGGTTAGTCCCCAGGGGTCATCCCCACCCCCTGCCATTTGAGAAATTTTTAATATCTTGTAAATGGTCAAGATCCCCACCCCTAAACCATATATATTCTGGTTTGTCATGATAAAGCACATCAAATAAAATACAGGGTTAGTCACCAGGGGTCACCCCCACCCCCTGCCATTTAAGAAAGTTCTAATATCTTGTAAGTGATCAAGATCCCCACCCCTTAACCATATACATTCTGGTTTGTCATGCTATGATGGTTTGAATGATATACAGGGTTAGTCCCCAGGGGTCATCCCGACCCCCTGCCATTTGAGAAAGTTCTAATATCTTGTAAATGGTCGAGATCCCCACCACTAAACCATATATATTCTGATAAAGCACATCAAATGAAATACAGGGTTAGTCCCCAGGGGTCACCCCCACCCCCTGCCATTTAAGAAAGTTCTAATATCTTGTAAGTGGTCAAGATTCCTACCCCTAAACCATATATATTCTGGTTTGTCATGCTATGATGGTTTGAATGATATACAGGGTTAGTCCCCAGGGGACACCCCCACCCCCTGCTATTTAAGAAAGTTCTAATATCTTGTAAGTGGTCAAGATCTCCACCCCTAAACCATATATATTCTGGTTTGTCATACCAAGATGATTTGAATGATATACAGGGTTAGTCCCCAGGGGTCATCCCGACCCCCTGCCATTTGAGAAAGTTTTAATATCTTGTAAATGGTTGAGATCCCCACCCCTAAACCATATATATTCCTGTTTATCTTGTCTCGAACATTTGAATGACGTATATGGTCAGTCCCCAGGGGTTCCCCCCCCCCCCACCCCCAATGTTCTAATATCTTGTAAATGGTCGGTATCCCCACCCCTAAACCATATATATTCCTGTTTGTCGTGTCTCGAACATTTGAATGATGTTTAGGGTCAGTCCCCAGGGGTTCCGCCCAACCCCAATGTTCTAGTATCTTGTAAATGGTCGAGATCCCCACCCCTAAACCATATATATTCCTGTTTGTCGTGTCTCGAACATTTGAATGATGTATAGGGTCAGTCCCCAGGGGTTCCCCCCACCCCCCAATGTTCTAGTATCTTGTAAATGGTCGAGATCCCCACCCCTAAACCATATATATTCTGGTTTGTCATGCCAAGATAATTTGAATGATATACAGGGTTAGTCCCCAGGCATCACTAATGCATATAACTTTACTGGACCAAACCAATTTTCACTGGACTTTGTCCAATGTCAGGCGACACTGGGAATTACGAATTATGGGTGCTTCGTTTGGGAGACTTCGTAACAGCATCCTGTTACAATCATTTCTTGTTCACATTAATCTTGCAACAATTTCAATATGCACAATAAGGGCGTTTCATGAGCTCTTGGAGCAGCTGTTTATTGCCTATTTTCTTGAAAACTATATTTGATAGAAAGAAACTTTAAAAAGCATATATAATCAGCAAGACAAGATCTGCAAATAGGTCAGCAAAAATGAAATTGTCAGTTGTCTAATAGGATTTATTGCTATCAAATGACAATTTTTTACCCTTTTTTTTATGTTTTTGGAAAAAAACTATAGAAAATAGAGAGAAATTTAAACAGATAAAATGATCAGCAATACAAAACAACAAAAAAGGAGATTTAAGTCGTGAATTATATTCTAGTCTACAAAGTTGGAGAGTTTCCTTTGTGTCCATTGCACAAAGACCTAGGTGAGTGACACAGGCTCTTTATAGCCTATAGTTATATTGATTCAGGTGGTTGGTACAGGCTCGTCACATTCTCTTATTTTTTGGTTATAAGGGCTTTAGTATTCTAGTTTGCCATTTTACAATATTTTTTGGACTTTTGGCATCCAGGTTTTTTATATGGTTGAGACTTGCGCTTAAAATCACGGCAACTTTGATTGAGCAATTTGATAAAGCTTATACTGTCGTGTCACTGTTAGTCATGCTAATTGGCATTCACACATAACGACTTGAAGAATTCAGCATTCGCCTTTGTTTATACAATGATGTTTTTTTTTAATTTAATAACAAGAACATTGTTAATTTATCACTCTTTTGTGAATGAAAAAAATTGAAAACCAGTGTACACAAGTTCTTTTTATGCCCTCTTATGATAATAGGGGGAATTGTGTTTTCTGGTTTGTGCATTTGTCCATCAATCAATCCCATATCAGGTTTAAGTTTGGGTTAAGGTAGTTTGTGGTGAAGCTTTGGTCACATCAGCTTGAAGCTTAGTAGATGTGTTCATTATGATGTGACCTTTTTAAGATTTATGCCTAATTAGAGTTTGGAAAGCTTGAAGCTTAGTAGATGTGTTCATTATGATGTGAACTTTTTAAGATGCATGCCTAATTAGAGTTTGGACGCAGATTTTGTGCTTCGACAGATAATGCGAGTTTGACATGGTTTGATATTGATACATGTTCATGTTTAATGAAATTTTTTTTCACTAGTTATCTTGCCAAGATGAGGATACCTTAGAAGATGATGATCAACAGGCAGAGTTCGATGGGATGTTGATTGAATCTGCTGGCGATGTCCTTCCTGCAATGGCAAAACTATTAGGGGGAGACATATTCTTGCCTTTTTTCAGAAGTTTTCTGGTAGATTTATTGAAAAGATTAGTAAGTATAAAAAAGCAGGTTATTTAACCAGTTTAATTATTTACAAATGTATGTTTTCATTATTCCCTGTGCACAACACATGTTCATCAAGTACTCCACAGACCAAAAGTTTTAAAAAGCTAATGTATAAAATGTTTTTTAAGAGCATCAAAAGCAAAAGAAATCTTTCTAAGGGTCAACCTTGCATATGGGAATTGCAACCTTAGTTTTATTGTCGAGCCTGCGACTTTTGTCGCAGAAAGCTCGACATAGGGATAGCGATCCGGCGGCGGCGGCGGCGGCGGCGGCGGCGGCGGCGTTAGCTTACTTCTTAAAAGCTTTATATTTTAGAAGATGGAAGACCTGGATGCTTCATACTTTGTATATGGATGCCTCATGTTACGAAGTTTCCGTCAGTCACATGTCCAATGTCCTTGACCTCATTTTCATGGTTCAGTGACTACTTGAAAAAAAAGTTCAGATTTTTTGTAATGTTAAATTCTCTCTTATTATAAGTAATAGGATAACTATATTTGGTATGTGCGTACCTTGCAAGGTCCTCATGCCCGTCAGACAGTTTTCACTTGACCTCGACCTCATTTCATGGATCAGTGAACAAGGTTAAGTTTTCGTGGTCAAGTCCATATCTCAGATACTATAAGCAATAGGTCTAGTATATTCGGTGTATGGAAGGACTGTAAGGTGTAGATGTCCAACTGGCAGGTGTCATCTGACCTTGACCTCATTTTCATGGTTCAGTGGTTATAGTTAAGTTTTTGTGTTTTGGTCTGTTTTTCTTATACTGTATGCAATAGGTCTACTATATTTGGTGTATGGAATGATTGTAAGGTGTACATGTCTAGCTGGCAGGTGTCATCTGACCTTGACCTCATTTTCATGGTTCAGTGGTCAAAGTTAAGTTTTTGAGTTTTGGTCTTTTTTTCTAATACTGCATGCAATAGGTCAGCTATATTTGGCGTATGGAATGATTGTAAGGTGTACATGTCTAGCTGGCAGGTGTCATCTTACCTTGACCTCATTTTCATGGTTCAGTGGTCAAAGTTAAGTTTTTGAGTTTTGGTCTTTTTTTCTAATACTATATGCAATAGTTCAACTATATTTGGTGTATGGAAATATTTTATGATCTATATGTCAGTCACGCAGGTTTTATTTGACCTTGACCTCATTTTCAAGGTTCATTGCTCAGTGTTAAGTTTTTGTGTTTTTGTCTGTTTTTCTTAAACTATAAGCAATAGGTCAACTATATTTGTTGTATGGAAGAATTGTTAGCTGTACATGCCTGCCTAGCATGGTTCATCTGACCTTGACCTCATTTTCATGGTTCATTGGTCAATGTTTAGTTTACTTGGTTAATGTTAAGTTTATGTGACAGTTGTAATAAAGCTTTATATTTAGGACTATCAACATAATATCAATGATTAGTAAAGAAGGCGAGACATTTCAGCGTGTGCACTCTTGTTATAATAATAACCTAATTAAAACAGAATGTATCTAGGATTTTTTTTCTGTTTGATACATTTAACAAAAAGAAGTAAAATGTTAATTCAGACTCATTGGGAGAAAAACTCATTAGGATGAATTGTATTTCAACAAAATAAGATTATCAAAAGGCATTGCACTGCACATACTTAAAAGATGCAAGTTAAGAGTCGTATAGAGCATATGCATATTTAGTTTGCTGGTACCAGTTTTAGCTTGATATCTGTAGTCGTCTGTGGTAGACTTTAATAAGAACATGGAGCTGCAGTTTTTGGCTAATATTAGATCAACAGTTAGATCAAAACTGTTATCTGTAAATGGAATATCATTAAAAGGTCCAATAATGTATCCTCGACCTTTCAGTTTTCAGTAATTCCCAAATACAAGTGGAACTAATTTGATGCTGTTTCAAAATCTGACATATATTATAGAAGGGTCTTTGAACTTGTGTGAAAACTAATTTTAAATTATTATCAAATAACTTTTAAAAGACATGTCCAGATGCTTAGATAACTGTTGTTCCAAAATATTTACATTTACAGGTGTTGAAACAGTCATGTCAAAATATTGAGGTGAATCTTAATTTTCTCTGTGTTTTTGTCCTTTTTTTTTAGTAACTTGTTTTTTACCTTCTTACAATTGATTTTAGAACGATCACCTTTACAAACTTAACACACATGAACATTTCTGCAATTGGAAACTGAATATCACTTTCAGTTATTGACCTTATAATAGATATTTCTCAAATGAAAGACTCTGTCTTTTCGGTATTTTTGTTATTTTACTTTTCTCTTCAAATATATCTTAAATATCATCATTTCTGTTTCTTAAGAATCACTGATTGGACGAACAAAAGCCAGCTGTGTTTAAGTTGATACCACATACATTTCAAGAATGAACCCTATCATTTGTGAAAATATTACAAAATATAGTATTGTTTCTTATAGACCAATAAAGTGCCATACTATTATAGCATAACTGAGCAGATGCATAAAGAGAAAAACTCTTTGGCAGGGTGTTTGGATGCCATATTGCTCATAAGAATCGAGCTCACTTCTAACGTAAGGGAAGACAGAACACATTATGTTCTTGTAAATCCCTTAAGGATGGACAAATTCCCCAATTGACAATGCTCTTTTCTCCATAAAATGGTACCATATGCTACAAATTTAGTGTTTTGGGATATAATTTGGCATATTTTGTTAAAAATGAGCCAGAAAATAAAACATGCTACATTGAAGAACAATTGATCAGTATGCTGGAGTTTAGTGTAAACAATAAATATTATGAAATTAAATACATCTTTTATAATATAAATTCACATTGTGGCATATAGGATTCAGAAGCAAGCAACAATTGCTTATATTAATTTGTCTCCTTGGAGTTTCTCATTGTTTCTTGATCCTGAGCTTTACTTAAACGGAAACCAGATTAAAATGGTTGATAAAACTAAATTTGTTGATAGAAAATTAACCTTACTCCCCCAAATCAAAATGTTAAAATCAAGATGTGTAAAAGTTGTGGCTAGCACTTACTGGGGCGCTGATCGCAACATTTTATTAAATTGATATGGATAACTAATTCGGTCTAAACTACATTATTGTTCCATAATGTATGGTTCCGCAAGAAAATCATACATTACAATTATCAATGCTGTGCATAACCAAGGTCCTTGTCTATGTCTTGGTGCCTTTAAAACCTCGCCAGTTGAGAGTCTGTATGTAGAGGCCGACGAGCCTCCCATAGACATTTAAAGCTTGGTCTTCGGTATGCCATCAAGCTTAAGGCATATCCAGACAATCCTGTCTACAACTGTGTTTTCATTCCCTTTTATGAAGATATTTTTGAAAAACAAGAAATTAAAATTCCTCCATTAGGAATTCATTTGAAACCACATATGAGCGAGCACCTTTGAATGTGATATCCGTTGCTCCAGTTCAAACTTGTAAATGCCTTCCATGGGAACTTTCCAAATCAAAAATAATATGATCTCCGTTCATAGATATAAGAAGATGTGGTAGGAGTGCCAATGAGACAACTCTCCATCCAAGTCAAAATTTATAAAAGTAAACCATTGTAGGTCAAAGTACGGTCTTCAACACGGAGCCTTGGCTCACACCGAACAGCAAGCTATAAAGCGCCCCAAAAATTACTAGTGTTAAAACCATTCAAACGGGAAATGTTCACCGATTTGACTCAATTTCTCATATTTGATTTATAACATACTTAAACGTATATCCAAATTACAAAAAGTATAAAATTAACAATTAACAATGTATGGACTCGATAATATGTATCAGCATTTCGTGTGTATTTTAAGTCTAGACGCCATCTAATTAACCTTCAAGGTGATCTCCGAAGACTGATGACGGTCATTTAACCCGATTTAAACATAGATTTAAATGTAAATAGATAGCGAGCAGGTGTAATTGGATTTTCTAGGTCTGTTTCATTTCATGTTATAGGTAAAAAAAAACCATTAATCATCGTTTGTACCTGTATAAGAATGATTTTTTTGTGGATCCAATCAGTCAACTAAATAGTTCGCCCTTGTTTCACTTTAAATGTTGACATTCTTTTCGTTTTAATAGGTGATCACGCCTAGTACATGCGTAATCCCTCTCCAGCTAAGGGGTTAAATTAAAGGTCACATGAATACGGAATCAAATGAGGTTGAATTATTGACTTGCAAGTAAATTATACATCAGCAATGTTTTTGAACTTGTTTTGACAAATTTGGGCCAAACTGACTGCCTATAACGAAATATTATTTCAAAATTCTGCTTTTATTAATATTTGAAACAAAAAGAATCGTATTTAATTTTTATCTAAAGTGTAGCTATTGCCCCTTTAACTGTTTATACTGATGCTGCAGTCTTTAATAATAATAATAATTCTTTATTTAAAGAGGGTTACACAGTTAGCTATGAAACTATCTTCCCTGAGGCCCTCATAAAATACATTGAAATATAACAAACAGAAAATTACAAAATAATCAAACAAACACACACAATAAGAAAAATCATATAAGAAATTGTCAAAACCGGTAAAAATGACGAATTCATATAGTATTGGCATCATTCAAATTACCTCAACAATATTTAAAGTTTAGGTAAGTGTGTGAAAAATTATTACCGGTATGCATATAAAATTACACAGCTTCTTAATGTTCCAACAAGTAACTTTTTAAATCTTTTTTGAATGAGCTTGTACTTGAGGTCGATTTTTCAGGGATATTGGTAAGTTTTTCCATAAAATAGATCCTGAATATATAAACGATTTCTTATACAGCTCTGTTTTGGCTTTTGGAACTTGCAATTGTTTGCAAAACGTATTCCTCAAACAATATTGGTTACTTTCTGGCATTTCATTAAATTTTTTAGTTAAATATACAGGGGCTTCATTCTTAATGCATTTATGCATCAAAACTGATTGATGGTATGATATTCTGTTTTCAACCGTCATCCACCCAAGCTGTTTAAACAGAGGTGCTGATGCTGAAAGTTAATCAGCATCTAAAATTAGTCTTGCAGCCCTTTTCTGTAATTTTATTATTCTTACTAGCTCATTTTTAGCACAACCACTCCAAATAATACAACAATAATCTCTCAGTGGGAGAATATAACCATTAAAAAATAATTTTCTTAAATCAATATTTAGAAATTTCTTGATCTTAGAGAGTAAATGAAGTCTAAATGATATTGATGAATATAAGTAATTAACATGGCCTGTCCATGACAGATTAGAGTCAATTCTAACACCTAAAAGTTTTTCAATTGATGATTTTTGAAGAATATTATTCTCAATAGTTAGAACTGGTTCTGTTTGATGGAAACGTAGCCTTTGTCTTGTACCTATAACCATACATTTAGTCTTATCTGAATTTATGAACATGTTATTTTCATGACACCTTTTTTCAACACATTGGAGATCATCTTGTACTTTTAATTGCATATCAGCAATACTCTTTCCTGATGTATGCATAGTTGTGTCATCAGCATACAAGTCTGTATGGCAGTTTTTATACGCCCGTTTACGGGACGTATTATGGTATACCGTTGTCCGTCTGTCCGTCCGTCCGTCTGTCCGTCGTCAACATGTCGGACATTTACTCAAAAATGCTTAAACCAATTTGCATAAAACTTTGGTGAATTGTTTATATCTATTGACGTGAGCTCCCTTTCGTTTTTTATAAAATTTAGATTTTACGTTTCCGAATGATGGGGTTTTATTCATTAAAAAAAGGGGGATTTTCCAGTTTTCGGACAATAAGTCAAGAATGCTTTCACCAACTTGCAAGAAATTGTGGTGAATTGTTTATATCTATTGACATGAGCTCCCTTTCGATTTTTATAAATTTTAGATTTTACGTTTCCGAGTTACAGGGCTTTATTTATTAAAAAAGGGGGGATTTTCCAGTTTTCGGACAAAAACTCAAAAATGCTTTCATCAATTCTTATGAAACTTTGGTGAATTGTTTGCATGTATTGATGTAAGCTCCCTTTTAGAATTTTATAGATTTTACATTTTATATTTCTGAGTTATGGGGTTTTATTCATTAAAAAAATGGGCAATTTTCCAGTTTTCGGACAATAACTCAAAAATACTGTCACAAATTCTCATAAAACTTTGGTGAATTGTTTATATCTATCGATGTAAGCTCCCTTTTTATTTTCATAAATTTCTAATATGACATTGAGAATTAATTGAACTTTATTTGTTTATAGTCTGACAACAGATTTACTAAATATTGCACAACAGCAAGAAATCTTTAATTGAATATAAATTCAATTCATATAACCAATTTCAAGGTCTTTGACTACATTTATTCAGAAACCTTTTATATGTCAAATATTTGATGACAATCCGAATTCAGACCTGAATCAAGCTTGAATATTGTGTCCATTTTTGCCCCAACTGTTCAGAGTTGGACCTCTGCGGGCGTATCTAGCTGCGCTCAGCGAAACAGTTTATTGATATATAATGGAAGGTCATTTATTTACAAAACAAACAAAATGGGACCAAGTATTGAGCCCTGTGGAACACCGAAATTTATATTTTTTTTATCAAAATATTGATTACTTATATGTACTTGCTGTGTTCTTTCTTTCAAATATGATTTTAAAAAAAAAATCAACAGTATTATCATGGAAGCCATAAATTTGAAGTTTTTTACATAAAATTTTATGATCAACATCATCAAAAGCTTTTTTAAAAATCCAGGAGAACTGCCAAATTGATATTTCCATTATTCATTTCATGTAGCCATTTATCAATGATATTAATGAGGGCAGTTTGACATGAATGGTTAGGTCTAAAACCAGACTTGGAAGGGTGTAAAATTTGAAACTTAGTCAAATAATCATACAGATGTTTAGATACATGTCTCTCTAATAATTTTGATAGTGTTGGCAGAACAGATATTGGTCTGTAATTGCTAGCTAAATTTTTTTCATCTGATTTGAACATAGGAGCTACCTTGGCATTTTTTTAAACACATGGATAAATACCAGTATCAATCATTCGATTAAAAATATGTGTTAAGGAAGATGCTATGCTACGAATACACATATATAGGAATGTCAGTTTAAAGTACACATACGAATCCTGGATATATAACTCCAAATTGCAAATCGAATAGAATTCAAAATAAATCTCAGAGAACAAAATATGGGTGCTGAAACTGCAACAAACTTTATAAACTGACCACCTGTCCCTTCAATATCTATAATGTGATTGGTCAAATCCTTATCTTATCTTTGTAGACAAAAATAACTTATCAAAGTAAATACGTGTGTGTCTTGCTAATTTTAAACACATGATGGGTCAGGGTAAAAGATGATGAGGACATGTGCAAAATGTATAAACTCCAATTTAATAAATTAAATTCCAAACAACAAGATTGTATTTATTCATAATTTTATAATTAAAATAATAAAACACTTAATTTGACCCTTGAGAGTCAATTACTCAGCAAAGGAAACTTTAGATTCATGCCCTGTCAACGACACTTGGTATAGATGGACGAATTCCCATGGACATTGACACTCTGTCAACCAACATAAACAAGACGAGGTCCTATAAGGGATGAAGGGATTCTCAATCTTGTAGCGGGTTGACAATGGAGAGAGAAAAATGAGTACTAGTAGATATTTAACATTAAATAACTTTGGGGAAATGATTGGTTTAAAGCTCTTCATCTTTTTAATAAGTTTTGGATTTTTCAAATATTTTGGCCTCGTGCCTCACTGAAGAGACATTTATTGTCAAAATACGCATCTTGTGCATAAAAATTGATACCTTTTATGTTATAAGACCAGTGGTCAATTTCAGAATGGTCCAAATGTCAGACGTGAAACAGTGGAGTGACCCCAAGGTAATAAGTTGGAAGAGCTGAGTAACAAGCAAACCTTCAATTAGACACTGGGAAATTCTAATAAACACATTATTAAATTTTACATAGATTAATATTATGACACAAATGTTTTGGGATAATGATAATAGAATATATAAGAGTTATTCTGAATAAATGTTACATGTATATTAAGGAATACTTAAAACTTTAAGATTGAATTACTAGTAGCTTTTAAAAAACTATTACTGTGTATACTTAGAAGCTTTATCAGTTCTCATGTAGTGACAATAACTATTAGATTTCCATTTATTCAAAGTTTAGATTCTGTTCAGTATTGTATCAAACATGAGATCTACATGATCTGATTTGCATCTAATTATGCTATGTACTCAGACTAGAATATTGTCTTTGCCTTGTGGTCAATCTTAGATAAAAATTTAGTTTTAAATGTATCCCCTGTCCTGTAAATGTCTAATCCTTATCTTATATATCTAGATAAAAATAACTTTAACTAAGTATATATCTTGCTGATATTAAACACCATGACGTCATTACCAGGTTTGTACATATCAATCAATCAATCATGATCACAAAAAATACCCCTAACCAAACCTTGTTAATTTCTTTTGCACTTCATAGCTATACATGTTCACGTTGGTATTGAGCCTTTATAAACTAAATATTATTATCGACATGCTATCAATGAGAATGTTTTGGTTTTATATTACAGAAAGAAACAAGTTCTGTGGCAGAAAAGTCATTTGCTGTAGGTACATTAGCTGAAACTTTGTTAGCCTGTGGGCAGGTCTCAGTAAATTTTGTAGATCAACTTTATCCTCTGTTTATGAAGATGATTAGAGATGAAGATGAGGAGGTCCGCAGTAATTCCATATTTGCCCTTGGTGTTCTTATGGCAAACAGTGGAGATAAGTTATATTTGTATCCTTTCAGATCAACTTTTTATCACCATACAGAGTTGAAGGTATAGTTTTCTTAATGTCCATTTGTCATCAAACATTTGATTTTCTGATATTTTCATCAGCACAACATGACTAATTCTTCATTCTTGTTCTTAAATGCTTTAAATTTAATGTAGATTTCTATAACTGTCTAAAATATTTTACTCACTAAGTACTGTGTAACAAGCCTTTTAGAAGTTAACATAATGTTTTGGAACAATACATGCTACGTGATTTAATATTTTCTATAAAAAGTAATGTCCCATTATTTAGAAACATATATATGGGTTTTTTTCTAGTTTTAAGTTACATCTTGCAAAAATACTCGACTAATCTAAATTGACAATTAGCCATGAATTCATATTGATTCTTCATAATAAACCAGTTTTATGGACAAAGGGTATTAACTTTATTCCCAATATTCCTTAATTAAATTGTGTATACCATTCTCTGTTTGAGGCTCAGCTTACAATGCAAATTGAAAGCAATCTTTATCTCTAAAAATTCACAAGCATTACAGTTTTTAGCCTTTTAGCAGAGCGTTTTCCCTAATACAACTATGCAAAAAAAAAAGAATTGTGGAATTCCTTATTTAGAAATACACTCTAAGAAAACAGAACAAGTTGGTTTTAAAATCTGCATGTAATTAAGGTTAAGGGGTTAATTCTTTTTTTTTGTGCAGTATTGTAGGCACTTGAAAATGTGGAAAATGTGTCTTTCTTCATAGTTCTTTCAAACCAATGCAAGGTAGAAGACCTGGTTGCTTCATACATTGTTAGCAGATACCTAATGTTACAAACTATCTGTCTGTCATATGTACATTTTCCTTTACCTCATTTTCAGTGACTGCTTAAAAAAATTACACACTTTTTTTGGTCATGTGAAATACTCTGACACATATCCTGGTATCTATGATGAGTTTATTTATTATGAATAATATGATAACTATATTTGGTATATGGATTCATTGCAATGTCTAGATGTCTATTAGACAGGGTTAATCTGACCTCAACCTCATTTCATCGATTAGTGATCAAGGTTAAGTTTTCGTGGTCAAGTGCGTATCTTAGATACTATAAGCAATATGTCAACTATTTTTAGTGCATGGAATGATTGCAAGGTGTACATATCAGACTGGCAGTTTCCATCTGACCTTGTGCATTGGACAATGTTTAGTTCTTGTGCTTCTTCTATTTCGCAGACAGATACTCTAAGCAATAGGGCCACTACATTTCATATATGGGATAATTGTTAGATGTACATGTCTGTCTGGCAGGGTTCATATGACCTTGACCTCATTTTCATGGTTCATTGGTCAAAGCTACTTTTTCGTGGTTTTGTCAGTTTATTAGATACAATAAGCAATAGGTCAACTATATTTTGTATTAGGAATGATTGTAAGGTGAACATGTCTGTCTGACAGGGTTCATATGAACTTGACCTCATTTTCATGGTTTATTGGTCAATGTTAAGATTTTGTGGTTTGATCTGTTTCTCATGTACTATAAGCCATAAGATCACTATATATGATGTATGGAATGATTGTAAGGTGTACGTTTCTTTCGGCATGGTTCATCTGACCATGACCTCATTTTCATGGATCATTGACAATGTTAAGGTTGTGATACTACACAGTTTGTACTACAGACTTTCTACATAAATAATCTTTCACCTCTCTTCTTCAATCATAAGTAAAGCAGGCGTGACATTTCAGTGTTTGCACTCTTGTGTATTTGTTTTTGTCACAAATGTACTACTTGAACTTAATATGACAATAAACATTTGATATATAATGAGTCCTTATAGTTGATACAATAAAACGATGTTGCTTTTAAAAGGGTAAATAAAAATGAGTACACTGTGTGCATCTGAAGAGCTTTTCTGGTAGCTTGTACAGTTTTGTGTACTGTTGTTTGTTTTATTTTCTTTTGGTGATGGTATTAATTGATTGTTATCATCTTATTGTTTTGATTGGCCCTTGGTAGTAAGTGTCCTTTAAGTTATATGTTAACTATTTAGTTTAGTTGTTTATTTAGTCATCCAAGGAAGCTAATTCCAACGATAAAGTCATGCTTTTAGAGAATTGTGTTTGGTCTTTCTGTCGCTTCATTGAATGGTATGAACAGATTAAGAAACCTTTAATGAATGTGGAGGTACTGAATCTAAAGTAGATCCAGCAGTATTTAATGGCATGACTCCAATGGCCTGGCTGGTGTATTAACATTGCATGTGGATGATTTTCTGTGGGTAGGAACCAATTTGTCATTTCAAAACTAAGAAAATAATTTAGTGCCGGTAAAGAAGCTTCAAAATCTTTCAGATATTTGTGACTGGGTCTAAGTCATACTGATGATACAATTATACTGAATCAGACAGACTATGTCGACGTGTTAAACACAGTATTAATAGATAGAAAGAGGGCAAAGGACTCTCCGCTTTCATCAGTCTAACAAACTGTTCCAAGATCAAAAGTAAGACAACTGTTGTAGCAGGCAAAACAAACTCGTCCCCTGACATTGCTTTTGAGATTGCTATAATTGCATCAAAATTAGAAGACAAGTACTATTGAAGACCTGAAAAGAGCGAACAAACTATTAAGGAAAGTTTGAATAGATCTAGTGTCCCTTTATTTCAAGGAACTTGGAGAACATGTAGAGCTGTAGTATACTGATGCTTCTTTTGAAAATCTCCAGATGGGGGAAGTCAAGGACGGTTTGTGATTATGGTTCTTGGAGACAAAGGGAAAATCAGCCTAGTAACGTGGCAGTCAAAGAAAGTTAGGAGAGTTGTTTGAAGCACACTAGCTCGCGAAACTCTTGCTTTAGTCGATGGAATTGATTGTGCTACATCTTCTTTGTATATTGAATTTATTTTCAATAAATGTGCTCCAGAAGGAGGTATTCCAGTCCGATGTGTAATTGACAATAAGGAACTTTTTGAGGCCGTACATTCAACGAAAAATGTATCTCAAAAGAGACTTAGACTGGAAACTAGTAGCACCAAGGAGATGATACAAAAAGGAGAGTTAACCGTTCATTGGATTGAAACAAATGAAGTAAAGTTAATGTGTTGACAAAGCACAGAACCTTTTACATTGTTTTGAGAAAAAAACTTGTTTATACAGTTTCACGAAGGAAATTTATATTGATTATTTGACACTTACAAAAGTGATGAATATACATATATTCTAGAACAGTAATTAATTTTTTTTTAAAAGAATAATTTGTGATGTGATTAGTGATATCTATAAAACTTTAATTTTCATTTATGAACTTTACATCTACTTTTTGAAATAAAAACTAGAAGTTTTTAGTCATAAATTATGAATGAAACCAGATTCATCTACATACATGTAGCTTGTTCTGTTTATGAAATGGTAGGAAATCACTATATTCTCAACTAGTTTTCCTTGATAAATTGGTTAATATGACTGATAAAATTATCACTCTTTTAATTTAGCATGAATTTACTTCGCATTTCACCATTAAATGTCTTATTTTGTAAAAACACTTGCACACATGCTTATTATATTAAGAAAGTTCATAATTAACTCATGACAATTAATTTTTTCTACCTAATTGAATGAAAGTTTTGATTCTTTTATCGGAATTGGTCTCCAAGGTTTATTAAAACGGTCATTTGGAGGGGCCTTTCAATTATCAAACAATACTGAGAAACAGTTACATAATGTAAAGACATGCAAATAAAAGTGGGTGCAAGGTGGGGATTAAAAAGTTGATCTCAATGAATTGACCAAAATCATTTCTGGACAAAAAAAATTTCATGACCTAAACTTAATACCTTTTCGTTCATTTGGCTTTTCAGATTATGTTTTTTCTGACAAATATGACCGTTTCCAGACCATTGGTTGCATTATTCCTTAACAAAGATCAGACATTATACACAAGTTTTAAAAACTTTGTTTGCAATATTGAATAAAGAAGGCAACCCAAGAGTGATAGATAATATATGTGCAGCGACATGTAGAATGATAACAACACATAAGTCGGCTTTACCACTTGAACAGGTATGTATGTTAGACTATTTCTTAAATTTTAAGATGTATGGAAAGTGTATCCTATTTACTTATTTTACCTTTAAAATTGTAGATATGCAGTAGATTTTCCTTTGTATACAGCATTCATTGTGTCAACACGAACGGATCTTTTCTGTCATGGTCCATGTCACACTTAGTTAATCCTCAACTTCCTTAAAACAGCTAAACAGAATTCAACCAAATTGTCATTGATTCATATTCAGGACATGAAAATTTGGACCTACTATAGCCTACTATTTTAATTTTTAATCTGATTGTATTTATGGTTTCCATTACCAAAAAAAATCAGCTAATATCAGCCTGTAAATTCAGAACTTATTGAAAACGCCTAAACAGAATTCCATCAAGTAGACCCAAATGTTGATAAACTCCTGTTCTACCTCCATGACAAATATAATGTTTTCCCTGCAGATAAAGCCCTAAACATCATCGTTTTGTGTGTAAATCACATTACATAAACTGCTTGATGAAGGAATTAGTTATTGACAATTCACTTGGAAACTCTACATATACTCCACGACACTTATCAAGGAGGAAATCCTGAAAAATCATAGGTCTGTTTTATGTTCCTTTGGAATTTCAACCAAAGATGAAGAACTTGGTCTTCATTCACTGTATTGGATTCCTAAATTGTGTAAGTGTCCTTACAAACAACATTTTATTGCTGGGTTTTCCAAGCAGGAAACCTATCAGCAATCAAAACCGGGATTCAAAGTTATTGTGAAATCACCTACTCGAAGTGTGGAGTAAATCAGATGTGGATACTAAAATAAACCAAAGATCTGATAAATAACACAAAATCTAAGTCTCTTTCTACTTGCAATAGTATTAAAAATTTTGACTGTTTACCCTTTTCACAAGTATTCCCCAACGTAGATTCAAGTTTCTTGTTTTATGGATTGATAAATCGTACTTTGTAAAAAATCTCTGATAAAACGAAAATTCCCTGAAACTGACATTGTCAAGATGCTTGATTTCTTGATTGACAACATAGTTGTTACGTTTCGAGGACATGTTTTTCAACAAACTATTGGCATTCCCATGGGAACTAGTAGATCCTCTTCTTGCCGACTTGTTCCTTTATTCATATGAGGCTGACTTCATACAGAAAAAATTAAAAGAATCAAGCATTTACTTTTAACTTCATTTTCCGCTATGTAGATGATGTCCTCTCATTAAACAATTCAAAGTTCGGTGACTATGTTGAACGCAACTATCCCATCGAACTTAAATACAACAGAATAGTTACGTCTGCCTCATATCTTGACTGACATCTAGAAATTGACCATGATGGTCGGTTGAGAACAAATCTTTACGACAAAAGAGATGATTGTAGCTTCCAAATTGTTAACTTTTCATTTCTATGAAGAAACAATCCATCAGCGCCTGCTTATGGAGTCTATATCTTCCAGTTTATACAATATTCCAGAACTTGCATTTCCTATTATGATTTTCTTGATAGAGTTGCTGCTTACAATGAAGCTATTAAACCAAAAGATGACAACGGATATGTTCCAATTGTCGTAATCACAATCCCGTCCTCTTTTCCCAGAATTAGAATTATCACAAGATTTGTACTTACATGAGCACCACGACGGGTGCCACATGTTGAGCAGGATCTGCGTTCCCTTCCGGAGCACCTGAGATTCCCACGGTTTTTGGTGGGGGTCGTGTTGCTCAGTCTTTAATATTTTCTTTGTTGTGTTTTGTATAATGTTTGTCTATTGATCGTTTTTCTTTTCTTGCTGTGGCAGTTTGTTTTCGACTTTAATATGAATTTGAATATCCCTTTGGTATATTTCACATTTCTTTTATTGTGGTTGGCAATTATCTTGACAACCGTAACAGGTAGAGAGAAATTTTAAACAGCACATACAATATCTACAAATTATTAATGGACTCAAACGTTATGGTCCTAAAATGGGGTTTTTTTGTCTCCCCTACGACGAAAATCGCAGTATGCAAGATATAGTATTACAATCTGTCGGCGGCGACGGCGTAAACTACTTGTTTAAAGCTTTATATTTCAGAAGGTAGAAGACCTGGAAGCTTGTGTGCAGATACCTTATGTTAAGAAGTTTCCGTCTGCCATATGTCCATTGTCCTTGACCTCATTTTCATGGTTCAGTGACTGCTTGGAAAAAAAATCCAGTTTTTTTGTTAAGTGAAATACTCACTCATTATGAGTAATAGGATGGTATCTGGGTTCCTAGCATCGTCTTGGTATATGGTTTCCTTGCATCGTCTACATGTCCGTCAGGTAGGATTCACCTGACCTAGTCCTTATTCCATGGATCAGTGATCAAGGTTAAAGTTACGTGGTCAAGTCCGTATCTCAGATACTATAAGCAATAGGTCAACTATATTTGGTGTATGGAATGATTGTAAGGTGTACATGTCCGACTGACAGGTTTCATCTGACCTTGACCTCAATTTCATGATTCATTGAACAATGTTTAGTGTGTGTGGTTTGGTCTTTTTCTCAGATACTATAAGCAATAAGGCTACTATATTTGGTGTATGGAATGACTGTCAGGTGTACATGTCATTCTGGAAGGTTTCATCTGACCTCGACCTCATTTTCATGGTCCATTGGACAATGTTTAGTTTTGTGGTTTGGTCTATTTCTCAGATATTATAAGCAATAGGTCAATTATATTTAGTGTATTGAAACAGTTGCAAGGTATACATGTCTGTAATACCATGTCTGGCAGGGTTCATATGACCTTGACCTCATTTTCATGGTTCATTGGTCAATGATAAGATTTCGTAATTTTGTCAGTTTATCAGATACTATTAGCAATAGGGCAACTATATTGGATGAATGGAATGATTGTAAGGTGAACATGTCTGTCTTGCAGGGTTCATATGACCTTGTCCTCATTTTCATTGTTCATTGTGTTAAGATTTTGTGGTTTGGTTTGTTTCTCGGGTACTATTAGCAATAGGACCACTATATTGGGTGTATAGAATGATTGAAAGGTGTACATGTCTGTCTGGCATGGTTCATCTGACCGTGACCTCATTTTCATAGAACATTGTTATTGTTAGATTTATGTGATACTTGTAGTAAAACCTTCATATTACAGACTTTCAACATAAATTCAATGATGAGTAAAACAGGCGAGACAATTCAGCGTGTGTACTCTTGCTGTTTTAACTTTGAAAACTAAAAGTTTTGTTGAGTCTGCATCATTTTGTTGCAAAAGCAAGACACAACGATCCTACATTTCCAGGGTGGTCAACATGTAAGGTCAGTCTGTTTTTTAAACATCAATGACTTTGTCAACCTTCATAAATTAAATAAAACTGTGACAGATCTTTTTTTGATAAAAGTATCAAGAGTCAAATTTTGAAAAAAAATGTTTCGCACTTTCATATTTTTCTGATAAATGGACTATTTTTTTTTACGTTAAACATAAAATGCCATATAAGATTAAAGTGTTTCAGACATCAATAACTTTTTGTCAAACTGTCATGGAATTTTACAAAACTTGGACCGAGCTTTTTAAACTGTCATGGAATTTTTAAAAGTTGGACAGAGGTTTTTATGATCAAAATACAGTACGGAAAACATTTTGAAAATATTTTTTACTGATAAAAGGACAACTCTACCGATCAAACTTTTATACCTCCATATTTTGATAACATAGAGCCACCTAGAAAAACAGTAGAAGTTTGATTTTTAATCATACGTCAGTTACATCAGACGTCAGTATAGAAAATAATGCTCCTTCAACATGAGACTGTGAAACATCGAAGTTTAGATATGGTCCTTATGGTCATGTAGGGGATCTCAACAGCATTCAAGAACGAGAGGTTAAACACTTTTTGAAAAATGGACGAATATTGTTGATATATGCATATCAGATTTTGAAAATAATTTAGAAATGAATAAAAGAGTACGTTATACACCCATTTCTGGGAATAAAAACAAACCAAGTACTCGCAAAGAGTTTTGTGTTAATACCAGCCGACAAAGCAGCCAACAATGTGGTGGTGGTATGACTTAAACTCTACACGGAAGCCTTAAGAATGAAATTATACATTCAACTACGTTCAAGGCTGTGTGCTCTACAGAGAGTCAAATAGTAAATAATCATGTAACTACCACAGCTCAGCTTAAGGCCCCCTCTTAACATTTGAAGGTCCCCACTATGTATTATTATCAAACCAAGATAGAGGTTTTTGTCTCTCCTTGACGGAGTCAAAAAACTAGACATCGGTATGCTGTTTCATGCGGCGGCTGTGGCGGTGTCAACAATGTATTAGTTTATGATTAGGTCAGTTTATGGTGAACCTCTAGTTGTAGGTCAATTATATTTGGTTTGAGTTGTATTAGCATTGGGACATCTTATTTCCATGGAGATTATTTGGCTCCATCCCCTCAGTCATGGTCTATTAACTTTGAAACTTTTGCGTAGTCTACGTGTATTAGTTTGTGATTAGGTCAGTTTATGGGGAACTACTAGTGGTAGGTCAATGATATTTGGTATGCAGTTGTATAAGCATTGGTACATCTCATTTCCATGGAAATTATTTGGCCCCACCCCATCAGTCATGGTCTATTAACTTTGAAACTTTTGCTTAGTTTACATGTATTAATTTGTGATTAGGTCAGTTTAAGGGGAACTATTAGTGGTAGATCAATGATATTTTGTATGCAAATGTATTAACATTTGTACATTTCATTTCCATGGAGATTATTTGGCCCCACCCCTTCAGTTTTAAACTATTGACTTTGAATGTGTTGCCTAGTTTACATGTTAAAGTTTGTGATTAGATCAGTTTAAATTGAACCACTAATGTAAAGTCAATGATATTTGGTATGCAAATGCCAATTGGCATTTACAAGTCTCATTTCCATGGAGATTATATTGCCCCACCCCCTCATCATGGTTCATTGACTTTGAAACTTTTACATATAGTTAACAAGTTAATGTTTGTTTAAAGGGTAACGACTTATGATA